ATCAAAAAACAAAAAATAATTTTATTTTAATAATTGTTATAAGTATTATAAATAACTTGAGGAAATGGAATAAAACTTAGTTAAATGAAAATAAATCATTCTTTTAATCTCAATCAATTAATTTTCAAAATCTAAATTACCTTTTAGAATTCTCATTACCATAGAGCATTGAAGATGATCGGGCTAAGATTAAAGTAATAATATGAAAAACATATTACTATATTGATAAGTGCAATAAAAGATGCTATTTGAATCCCTAAGATCAATAGATGATAAAAAATAATAGATAAATCCAAAGTGTAAAGGACTATAGATTATTATAGTTAGAAGCCTTAATGATAATTATGTATATTTAATTATAATACTTTATTCTTTGTTAATAATTTTATTAGATAATTATATCTTATATTAAAAATTAGTGATAATTTAATATTTATAATAAATATAAATCTTGACTCATGAAAATAATTAACTACTAGCAAGCTTTATTTTCCTTTTTTTACAAACTAACTTCCAAATTTTTTATATTTTTGGAAAGAGTTGTTTTACAAAAATCATTCCAAGACACATAATTAAAAATCCCATCTGAATAAATCCTAAAGTAATTTTGTTCTCATAAGAAAAATAAACCTCGCCAATATCAAAATATAAAAATAAGGTTAAACTAAATACTGTTAAAACACCTTCAATTATTAAGAATATGATCCTATCAAATTAAGAGCATAATTTATATTTGTAGATTATGCAACATTAAGCTATACTACTTATAGATATTAGTAAGCATTACAAAATTTATTATTCTTAGAATAGAATTAATATGCTATGGAAGAAAATAGCTCTGGAAACATCTAAGGCAATAAATTTTATTTCAAGATTTGATAATACAGTATTTTTCTTAGGATAGCTGCATAAACTAAAAGATTTTAATAACAAACTTATGCAGGTGAAAAATATTAAACTTGCAAAAACAGTAGTTATAATACTTCTCAAATTGTCGATTTTACAATAATGAAGTTACAGAATCACTTTAAATATCAAATCCCATGAGTTAACATAAATAAGTTGTATTATTTAATCATAATTCTAGAAATATTTAGTTTTCATTAATGATTTGAAGCAATTTTTAAAAATTAGTATTAAGTTAATAATTGCAATTAACATCTTTGATAATAGTGTTTTTTGATGTTAAAGATGTCTCATATATTTACTTAATCTAAATAGTTTATTATAAAGATTTTCTGCAAAATAAAGTAGTGTTACCAATACTAAACATGAAATTAATTGTGGTAAAATATTGGTAAAAAGATCAGCTTCTACATTATATTATTAAAATTTTCCATTAAGATCAATTTATATTTCTTTTCTTGTTATTAAATTTAAATAATCATCAATTTAAAAAAGTTGTAAATAATTTGATATAGATAGCAATTCTTATGCTTAAAAATATATGTAGAGGTTTTCAGGATAGTCAACATTAATAAATCTTAAGAATGATTGATATTACAATAGATTTAAGGTTTCAACAACAAAAGAACTTTCACCAGAAACTAAAGAAATAACACAAATTAATATTGCTCCAATCATGAATGCTTTATTGGATTATTAAGCATAAATAGATACTAATCTTAATTATTCAGACATTATTTTTGGTGTTTATAGAGTCATTGATTAATTGGGATTAAAAAGTGTTTAATTATTTGAGTTAATAATATCTTGATTCAACTAAACTTAAAGAATTGTTTTTGTTTAAAGCTATTAAAATAATTCAATTTAAACCTAATACTAAGCATGTTAAAGATCAAATGAGATATCCTAAATCGAATTGATCGTGATATTATAATACTTGGAATCTAAGTCCTTAATGCTTATGTCAAATAAATTTTTGTCTTTTTAAACCTAATCACTAAATTTGACTTCTTAATCAAATGTAATCTCAATTTACTAAAGAGCATAGAATTACATTTTATAAGTAAGTTTCATACTGGGTTTTCTAGAATATACACATTCCTATTTTCTGCATATCATATTTTCATTTAATGACAGCCATTCTGGATTTTAACCATAACTACTTGTATTGTTATTACTAGAATTAAGATCATCATAATCTATATTTAAGAAACATTAATTATTTTATAGGGCATAATCATTATCGCATAAAAGACACTCCCCTTTGTTGCATATTTGACAATATTTTGTACATTAAAATTTGCATTCATAACATCCATCAAAAGGTTATTCATTTTAATCATCGCATTCTTCATATTCATTAATTACAATTCCATCTCCACAAATAGATATACAAAAATTTTCTTAAGGAAAAAGGCCTATTTCACATTTTAAACAATATTGTAAATCGCATAAACTACAATAATTTTAACACTTAAATTTACAATTAACACACCCCTCATTATCATCATCACATTACTCTTTTGAAAATGGTACCACTATGCCATCTCCACATTCTGGCTCACATAAATTATTAGTATTTACTAAAAAACCAAGAACACATCTCTAGCATTTTCCAAATTAACAATCAACGCAATTGATATCACATTAAAATTTACAATTATGGCACCCATAGAAAGGATTAATATTATTATCTTCACATTCTTCATTATCCATAAGTTTAGAATCCCCACATAAGTTGATACCATCATTACCAACATATATAATTGTTATATGATTTGAAATGCATTCATTGTTGAACAAATAGTTTCCTTATAAACATAAATCACATATCCCTTCTAAACAACTTATGCAATTGGCATCACAATTTTAATTTAATTTTAGACTATCTTGAATTTATATCTATTAATCACATTATTCATTATTTTTCTAAAGACCATCTCCACAGATAGAGTAACATTTAGATTATATTAATTAATATCCTTCTTAACAATCGTAACAAATTCCTTAAAGACAATAAAGACATGAGTCCTAACAACTAAATTGACAGAAATGGCATCCATCTCCAATAATTAAATTGCCATCATCACATTATTCATCCTCAGTTATTATTTTATCTCCACAGATTGAATAACATAAATAATCAATTCTATTGTAACCAGTTTTACATGATTGACAACCAAGTCCAGTAGTACTACAAGTGAGGCAAGAAGTTTAACATCTCGCTTAGCAATTATTACAACCTTTATAGGGTAATATAAATGAGTTCTCACATTATTCACCAACCACAATCATAGAATCCCCACAAATTGGTTTACATACTTTTTCATCAGAAAGTTAATATCCAGTAGCGCATTCTTCACATCTATTATTTACACAATTTATGCAAATAGTTGCTGGTTGGCACTAAAAGTAACAAGAGCTACTGCAGCCATCATAATTAGTTATATTACCATCCTCACATTGCTCTGAATAGAATCCATAAGGATCGACTACGACTATGCGATCTCCACATACATTTTTACAATAGTAAGAGATAGGAGTAAACCCAGGGAATTCACAACTTAAGCATGTATTGGTTGTATAATCACAAGAAGAACAACCAATTCTACAGAAATACTTACAATCTTTGCACCCATCCGTATCAGAAGTGTTTCCATCTTCGCATTATTCACTTCCAACAATTAGCCCATCTCCACATTTTTCTTTACATTACCAAGGAGTAACTAATGGATCGATATACCAACCCCCAGTAGCACACTCAAAACAAAGTCCTTTTATACACTTTGTACATGCAGGCTAACATTAATATTTACAATTAAAACATCCATCATATTAAATAGTATTCCCATCTTCGCATTCTTCTACTCCTGTAATGATTCCATCCCCACAAATATCAGGACAAGGTAAAGTAGTGGATGAATCACAAGTTAAACAATGAGCTGGACATTAAAATTAGCAATTATAGCATAAATCATTAAAGAGTGTATTACTGTCTTCACATTATTCATATCCTTTAATTTATAAATCTCCACAAATAGGTTGACATTCTCCAGACACCAATTGAAATCCAGTATCACAAGAACTACAAGTAACAGTATGCCAAATCAATTAATTATTATTACATAATTTATAACATTAGCTAAGAGAGGTTGTTTCTGTAATTGGACAACCTATAATATGATTATTAAATATACTTGTACAAACATTACTTAATTCATAATAACCAGGTGCACAAACACATTTTAACCCTTTTAATAATCTATTTACAGTAGAATCACATGTTAAACAACCATCAATTGTGGTTCTAAAGCAAGTTTAGCACGATAAATGACAAGATGAACAAGTTTTTGTTGTATATTAATAAGACTTGCCTGCTGGACATCTACAAGTTGATCCTACCTTTTCAATATTAACAATATCATTGCATGTTAAACATTCATCAGATGTTGCTCCAGTGCAAGTTTTACAAAATTAATGGCATAATTAACATTAAGCATTTGACACAATAGGATAATATCCATCAATACAAATACATTACCCATTGGATAATTGTCTATTATTAGTAGTTAAGCATTCTATACAATTAGTAGAAGTTAAACATTAATTGCATTCAATAGGACAATCAAAACATTAATTTGAATCTTCATATTAATGTATAGTGCAAGTACATCTTAATTTAGATTATGTATATGTTGATTAACATGTTTAACAATTAAGTTTAGATGTGCAAGTTAAACAAGATGATGGACAAGTTAAACAGCTTAAGGATTCTTTATCATAATATTGATTACTCAAACATTCCGCTTAAGAAAATTTAACGATATTAGAATCATATGTGTTGTTCCATTGAGTACATGTAGATTAATCTGAACATTATAAGCAATAAGGTTAGCAATTATGAACAGCAATGTAATAATTATAGTATCCACAGTATGCCTTGATTGGTTCATTATTTGGTCCAAAGCATTCCCAAGTTATTGTTAATGTATTTGTATTATGAAGGATTTTTTCATATATTTTATCGTATTTCTAACCTTCATAATAAGTTGAATAATAACTTGCAGTTGATTTAGAGACTGGTGTATTATTTTCAATTGTATATATAAATTGTCCATCTGAAGGGAATGATGGTCCATATAAAATATAAAATGCAATAGTAATACTGTGATGTGGATTGATTATATTATGAACCCTTTAGAATTTAGCTTAAGCCCATACAAAAGGTCCTCCAAAGACTCTAATTCCATTACAAAATGAATAATAGATATCTAAACCTTTTAAAAAGTTTGATCCACTTTAAGACATTAAAGTATATTATGAAAATTATTCTGGGTCGCCTGCTACATTATGATATTCTTCAACTAAATATTAAGAGTCTACATATAATATTATATGATACAAGGTGTTTCATCATCATAATCTTAGCAATAAGCGCCAATTTATTTCTAATATGGAGATGAGCAACTGTATATACAACTACCATCTCTATATATATAGTATCCATAATCACAGGTCTCACATATAAATGGTACATTACACCATCTACAATTTTCATGGCAAAATCCTTAAGTAATTATGATATTTGAAATTGCCCACCCTGCTGTGTTATCACTAATTTTAATATTGATATTTACGTATAATTCCCTGTTGCTGAAAATAAAAATGAATATTTTGGAATACCAAAATATGTAATTAAGTCATAAGCCTTGCTTGATGAATAGTTTAAGTATGAACCAGTTAACTGAGTTTCATAGATTTTGAATATATGTGTTTGAATTCCAGATTAATTTCGATAAATAGACCCGTAATAAGTATTATTAATCATAAACTTAATTCCACAATTAATTGGAATATCATTAAATGCAACAATTCTAATTTTAAATCCCAATAAATCGTATCCAATAGAGTAGTAGTTTTATTTGAAAAATCTATAAAAGCCCGAATTAAATCTAAAAATTCCAAATAATTATTTAGTAAGTATTCTTTTTGAAGAGGTGTCGATATTTTATGGATCATATATTTCAAACCAATATATATTTTAAGAATCCGTATAACCAACTTCGGCTTTTATTGTTCTAACTATGATATTTTTATTAAAAATTTTACCTTCAAACCTATTACAAAATCCTTTTGAATATAATGATTAATCTATATCACAAATATCTTTGCACCCAAAGTATTTTTCATAGTATTAATTAGATGGACAAGAAGGACAAATGTTATTTGTAGGTGTACCGTAATAGCAACTAGTACATTGGTTAAATTAAGGACCTGTGCATTCACTACATGATGAATAGCATATAAAAAATATTCTTGAGACAACAAAATTACTTATTGAAACTTAACCTGAATTAGTATTTAGGGATATAAATTAGGGCTGGCCTGATTATAAACTTGGTATTGCAAATTTCCAAGTTTTGACTTCAAAAGGAATGGTATTGCAAAAACCAGTAGTCATAGGATAATTTGCAGGGGAGGTGTAGGTATATGTTTTTGAAAATGTTCCTATTGTAAATTAAACATTTTAAGATAACCATGTACCTTGAAAAAATAAATCTATAGTCACATAATGTCCAAAATCGTAAGTGCAACTATAGTTATATTTAGCAGTTGTATTTTAACTATTTAAAGTGATGTGGCTTGTTTAAGGAGTTGTGCATGTGATAAAATTTGCAGGTGTTGAGACTGACGACTATGTAAAATGCCAATTTTGCCAAAATACATTATATCTATCAGGAGTTTAGTTAAATATCTAATTATAGAATAGGAGTGCGGTCTCTGCAGACCATTAGGATTTTGAAATATCAAGCAAGGCGAATAGGATGTAAATGATAGAAATACTCATAAATAATAATAATATAACTCGTAATCATAAATTTAAAAATAATAGAAATGAAAATTTTCCATATAACGCTGAAAAATATAATCCTCGTTTATATGTTTTGAAGCGATTTTAATCATTAATAAATAAATAAATAATAATTTGAAACTTTAAATAAAATACCAAAGGAATAGAGAAGCAATAAAAATATTTTATTAATTTGTCATGTATAATCAATAAAGAGTATAATATAATCTAAATGAATTAATTATTTACTAATGAATTCTAAAATATAAAGGAAGATTGATATTAATGAGCTGTTAGCTATTTACTATAAAATTTAAATAATATTAAAAAGTATCTGATATTTTTTAGGAATAGATTTTATATTTTTAATTAACAACTGGTAGAAAAAATAAAAATATGAGTTAATAGGAGGGATTACCAAAGCAAGAGTCTTAATTTCAAATTACATGCTTTCAATAAATATAAAAATTAATAAAAGATAAATGTGTTTACATTTATTTTAAATTGGGAATTACATTAACATTTTTTTTTCAAATTCCTGAAAATTATGAAATTAAGAAATTCTTGCAAAAAAATAATAAACATTTCTATTGGCTTCATTTTAATATTTTTATTAATTTTTATAGATACCTGGCTCAATTTTATCTCATAAATTTACATAGTTAATAAACTCTTTTTGTAACTAATAATATCGACAACTTATTATTTCTTATAATTTGATCATTGCATATTAATAAGTTCTAGAAAAAGCTGTTCTTGCTCTACATATTATTATTATTATTTTTATTATTCTTATTAAGTCAAATAAATGAAAATTAAAACTTAAATTTGCATTAAATCGCATGATTCTGTTTTGTAAAATTCTAAAAAAACTATTTTTGAAATATTTAGAGTTGGAAGAACAAATAATATTTCTATCATCATTTCTTTACTATGTTTTATTCAATGAAACCTATTATTCAATTTTATTTATTTTTCATAAATGATAAAAATCTTTTCAATAAATAAGTTTGGCCAACTTAAATTCAATTTTTCTTATAACAATATTAAAATCTATAAATAAATATTTCTTTTTTTAAATATTCTAAACTTTAAATGTATGAATATAGATACATAAGATAGATATTCTAAGCTTTTATTTGTAAACCTTTTGCAAATAACAATTCTTCTAACTCATTTTTAAGAATTTGCACTATGAAACAATAGGATATATATAGATACGCTTAGTAGATAGTTATATAGTTTTAAAAAGAAGATAGTATTCATCATAGTTTTCAACCCAACATTCTATTTGCAATTAAAGCATTAAAGTAAATATAATAATGCAATTAGAATTGTAATTTTAATTTCACTTATATAAACTAATAAAAATAAATATAAAGCATAAATTGAAATAAGGTATAAAGTAATCTCTTAAGAACAATATACTATGGAACTTTTTAAAAAAAGAAGGTTTAGAGTATCAAAGTTATAAGAAATAATATGCTTTCGATAGGCCGATATGAAATTTAGTATTATTTACAAATGACTTAGTCACCAGACAATTATTAACTATATACATCTATCTGATAAAACATACTTTAAAAATTGAATCAGGATAACTATAAAAATTAATAAAAATATTAATAATTAGTTTATTCAATTATATCTTTTATAGAGAATAAAGGAGGATTTTTCAGGATTGCTTCCTCTCAAAAGATTTCAGATTGTTAAACAAATCAAGAAAAATAAAGAAGGTAAATAAAAGTATTTATATTATATTATATTAACTAAACCATTCGTTTAGAAGTATAAAATTTTTAAGCTTGTATATAATTTTCGAAACTTTTTTTGTATGTGAACACTAGAAAATAAAAATAGAAATGATTTAATAAATAGCTTCAATTAAATTTGAGATAAATACATTTGATAGATAGATATAATTAATTTAACTAAGTTGAAAGTACATAATTTCATCATGCAAATTCATAGAGTAAAGAAATAGCTCATATAATAAAAATCTTGTAACCACATAAATTAAAAAAAAAATTTCAATAAGTGTCTAACTTAATCATTTTTAGAAAAAGAAAAAAGCGAAAAAATGGTGACCTCTTTATTTAACGAAACGAATAGTTAACTAGGTATATTAGAAGGGTAAGAAAAGGAATTGTAGAGAAAATAATTTATAAGAAAGAACAAAAAAAAGTGACAAAACAAGATTATTCAGTGAGTAACGCTACTCTTATCCAATTCTATTAGAAATCCAATCCATCTAAACACTGGGAATGAATCATCTAAATAAATTTCCTAAAAATTTAAGAATGATAGTGAAATGAATTAAAGTGCTATTCCTTAATCCCCATAAAAACTGAAGAATTATTTATATTTATTAATTGAAATGTTAGATCATTAAATTGAACACTCTTGATGAAATAAATCCTAGAGAGCACATCAAATATTTCTCTCAGAAGTGAGGCATTAGTGCCTAAAAAATTCTGTAAAATGATAAGATTGATTAAAATAAAAGAATGTTTGAAACCCTGAAGTATAATTATTAGAGTAAATCAAATATTAAAGTTAAAACTCCATAAAAATTTTATATTCAAAAATTTATTTATTGTTTCAAAGAGTTAACACTACATTTAATCTGATATTAATTAATGTATACTTTGGCAGCCAAAAGATCAGTGTGCAGGCAATATGAATATTGAATGATTAATAGTCTCTTGTTATCTAAATATAATAACTTATTATTTTTGGAGACTTGAATTGAGAGAATCTGAGCTGGTTATATGAAAGTCTATATTCAAAATGTAGTATTACGATTCAATGTTTTATTTTTTTTAATATGTTTAGCATTTAACATCTAAAACTTGGTTAAATCTATTTGATCATTTACTTCAAAGATTAGATTTGAAACCATAGCTGGGTGTTTGGATATTAGAAATAGAATGAATGCATCACTACATCTAAAAGAATAATGGAAGATAATATAATTTAAAAAGTAATATTCAGGATTAAACCAATAAATTAACAAAGAATTTCAACTTCTTATTCATAGTATAGAGTCCAATTCCATTATTGAAACCAATTAATTAAATTAAGAGTAAGATTAATACCATTTAATACTTAGGATTATTTAATAATATAATAGTATTAAATCGTTAGTATAAATTTCAAATCTGTTTTTGTACTTGTTATCTATAAATTAATATTTCATATTGCTCACTATTATTAATTAATAACAGAATTAAAGGATAAATTAAAATTTATTAGTTTTAGTTACTCTTTAACACTACCACTTTGAGTCGTCTATATTGAATGTTATATGCAAAGAAAATGTTGGAAGTTTTAGTGTTTAAAGTTTCCCAAACTACTGCATTATAAAACTATATTGTTTTTATATTTTTCATCAAAAGCTTGTAATGGAAAGTCAGAGCTAAAATAAAAAATAAGCAGCTTCACATCTTACTTAATTAATAAAGTAGTTAACTTGTTAATTCCTCTTTTGGATGATATAGTAGGATAAGATCTTAACTTATTTGCAATAACTGAAGTATCCACAAAAATAATAAATTTGCGATTATTAAGGAAATGCTAATGATTAGTGATCACCGATGAAAAGCTGTAATTTTATTTAATTATTAATTAGAGTTTCTTATTTAGAAGAGAATTTTATACAAATCTAGGATTTACTTGTGTTTTAATCATTCTGTTTATAATTAATTTTTATGTTTTTCTTTTCATAAAATCCTGAATTTTTAGCTGAAGATATATTTAAGGTATATAAACAAATATATTTTAGTTGATTTTCAATTTTCAAGATAGCTAAATGCCTAAAAATGGTTGATCGCAATGTTCATTTTAATGATAATTAATATGATAATCACTATACTCTTTGAAACNCTCCATAAAAATTTTATATTCAAAAATTTATTTATTGTTTCAAAGAGTTAACACTACATTTAATCTGATATTAATTAATGTATACTTTGGCAGCCAAAAGATCAGTGTGCAGGCAATATGAATATTGAATGATTAATAGTCTCTTGTTATCTAAATATAATAACTTATTATTTTTGGAGACTTGAATTGAGAGAATCTGAGCTGGTTATATGAAAGTCTATATTCAAAATGTAGTATTACGATTCAATGTTTTATTTTTTTTAATATGTTTAGCATTTAACATCTAAAACTTGGTTAAATCTATTTGATCATTTACTTCAAAGATTAGATTTGAAACCATAGCTGGGTGTTTGGATATTAGAAATAGAATGAATGCATCACTACATCTAAAAGAATAATGGAAGATAATATAATTTAAAAAGTAATATTCAGGATTAAACCAATAAATTAACAAAGAATTTCAACTTCTTATTCATAGTATAGAGTCCAATTCCATTATTGAAACCAATTAATTAAATTAAGAGTAAGATTAATACCATTTAATACTTAGGATTATTTAATAATATAATAGTATTAAATCGTTAGTATAAATTTCAAATCTGTTTTTGTACTTGTTATCTATAAATTAATATTTCATATTGCTCACTATTATTAATTAATAACAGAATTAAAGGATAAATTAAAATTTATTAGTTTTAGTTACTCTTTAACACTACCACTTTGAGTCGTCTATATTGAATGTTATATGCAAAGAAAATGTTGGAAGTTTTAGTGTTTAAAGTTTCCCAAACTACTGCATTATAAAACTATATTGTTTTTATATTTTTCATCAAAAGCTTGTAATGGAAAGTCAGAGCTAAAATAAAAAATAAGCAGCTTCACATCTTACTTAATTAATAAAGTAGTTAACTTGTTAATTCCTCTTTTGGATGATATAGTAGGATAAGATCTTAACTTATTTGCAATAACTGAAGTATCCACAAAAATAATAAATTTGCGATTATTAAGGAAATGCTAATGATTAGTGATCACCGATGAAAAGCTGTAATTTTATTTAATTATTAATTAGAGTTTCTTATTTAGAAGAGAATTTTATACAAATCTAGGATTTACTTGTGTTTTAATCATTCTGTTTATAATTAATTTTTATGTTTTTCTTTTCATAAAATCCTGAATTTTTAGCTGAAGATATATTTAAGGTATATAAACAAATATATTTTAGTTGATTTTCAATTTTCAAGATAGCTAAATGCCTAAAAATGGTTGATCGCAATGTTCATTTTAATGATAATTAATATGATAATCACTATACTCTTTGAAACATATGTCGTTCCAATAACAACATGATATTACAGAGCAAAAAAGAGATATACTCTAATTGCACATTATTTTCCAATAAATGGTTAAAAGATATCGTTTTCCTGAAAATCCTTATCTAAGAGATTGAATCACTCATTTTGTGTTTCATATTTTAATATTGTATTTATTGCATAATTAATTTATAAATAATATGTAATATATATAAAAGTTAAATCAATATAATTATTACAATTATCGAATCCTTATTTGTTTGATTTTAGTTTTCCAAATGTATTATTTACTAAGTGAAATCATTTCTAATATGTAAATTCTAATCAACTTCATTTGGCTTATAATTAGGCTCATAATTATAAGCTATTTTTTCATTTCTATTATTTTAAATTTCTTATATCTAACTCTATTATTAATTTATTTATTTATGACTATTTCTATTATTTATTACCTATTCATCTTGTTTGATACTTCATATTGCTAATGGAAAATTTACCATAGCTATCTCTACATGAATAAGTAATTCTCTTAATCCACGGGATCTAGTGCATATCTGATAACAGACTCATTTATATTGCCTTCAACTCAAACAACTGCAAATTTTATCACTTGTGCATCTCCTCCTACAAGCTACATTACTTTAACTAATACTTATCCATCTGCTTGGACGGCACCAAAGTGCACTATTAACGATGGGAATTGGATATCTATTGATTTATATTTTCAGGGTACATGGTCCTCTCAAGTTTTTAAAATTGCCATAGGATCATATGTATATACATATACCTACAGTTCCCCTTCTACCTATACATTGAACTCAGGTTTTTGTGATGCCACTCTTTTTGAAGTTAAGACTTGGAATTTTACATTCGTAATAGCAGAAGGTACAATTGATGCGTTTTTGAAATTAACATCTTCTAATTCAAATACAGGTTAAGTTTCGATTAGAAATATCTTTGTCTCAAGAGTAAAATGTTATCCATCATGTAATTCATGCACAGGTCCAAAATACAATTAATGTACAAGCTGCTATTATGGGATCCAAACAAACAATATTTGTCCACCTTGTCCATCAAATTAATACTATTGGAAGGAGGTAGGATGCAGAGATATTTGTGATTTATTTTCCTCATTATATTAGAATGGATTTTGTTAAAAGTATGCAAGTAAGTATTTTTAACTAATATTACTTAGTTTAAGATATAGAATTGAGTTATTTTTAATCACCATCCTATGATACTGAAAATAAGAAATGGTTGTTGATATATGACCCACAATACGTAGTTACCACTCAAACTATTACTTAAATTTCTACGATGATTTATGTATATGGAGTATTAAAGTATAATTCCGGAATTTATAGATATTTCGATTTATTGTCTACTTATGCTTATTCCACCTATTTGATTGGATTGAAAATTATAATTCTTCTTTATAATGATATTCCAATTGATTGTGGAATCACATTCAAAATTAACAATACTTATTATGGATCTATTTATAAAACTACATCTGGAGTTCAATCAAACAAGCTCAAAATCGCTTCAATATATGATTATGGATCGAAGTCACCGTATTCGACAAGGACAAAAATTGTTTTAGCTTCATTAATTGACATCCCAAAGAATGCATTTGTATTTTCAGCGATAGGAAATTATACGTAAATATCATTTGTCAAACTTAGCGTTGGTACAGCAGGATGGGGTATTATGTAAGTCGATATTACTTCAGGATATTGCGCTTAATATTGTGAATTGTGTGAAGTATCATTTAAATGTAAAACATGTTTAAATGGATACTTATCTTATCGAGATGGTAGTTGCATAAATAATTGCTTATTTCCATATTAGAAATAAAATGGCACTTATTGCTATGATTATGATGATGAAACACCTTGTATCATATAGTATTATATATAGACTCTGAATATTTAGTTTAAGAATTTACAGGTTTAGAAGGTGATCCAGAATACTACGCAAAATATACTTTAATCTATCAAAGTGGAACAAACTTTTTAAAAGGTTCAGATATCTATTATTCATTTTGGAATGGAATTAGAGTCTTTGGAGGACCTTTTGTATGGGCTTAAGCTAAATTCTAAAGGGTTCATAATATAATCAATCCACATCACAGTATTACTATTGCATTTTATATTTTATATGGACCATCATTCCCTTCAGATGGACAATTTATATATACAATTGAAAGTAATACACCAGTCTCTAAATCAACTGCAAGTTATTATTATACTTATTCTGATGGTTCAAAATACGATAAAATATATGAAAAAATCCTTCATAATACAAATACATTAACAATAACTTGGGAATGCTTTGGACCAAATAATGAACCAATCAAGGCATACTGTGGATACTATAATTATTACATTGCCTCCCATAAAACGATTTAGAACAGAAGAAACAGTTTTAGGAGTATTGTGTTATGGTGGATTTCGAATCAAAATCCACAGACGCAGCATTGATAGTCTCAATATGATCAAACCTTGTTAATTGTAACCAATATAAAAAAATAAATTCAAACTAGAAAAAATTAAATAATAACCAAAATTACCTAAACTAATAAAGTTAAGATTGATTTAGAGTAGAGAAGTTAGTCCTTGGTGAATAATTTGTTTATAATTTTTATTCATGATTTATATGATAACAACTTATCCCTCTCTCATTGAAAATAAATAAAGGAAACAAGTGTAATTCTCAAGAATAATGACTATCACTCTTTAATTTTTTATAATTAAGCCTCAAGTTAAAATGCTTCAAATAATAATTTTAAATTGTTCTATGGAGTAGGCTACATTTTAGATCTTAAGAAACACTTTAATAAAGTTATCAATGTTTTGAAATAGTTGGTCCATAAGGAGAGGGTTTCTGAAAAACTGGAATATATTTATGAAAATCAATCAAATAAAATAAGATAATTGGATTTCTTTAATTTTGCATTTAAATTAGGGTAAGCTCTTGAATAGGAAATTGAGAGAATCTTTGATAATTACATCATGAGAAGCTTAGATTAAGAAAATAAGATCTTTAACGCTATGTAGTTTTAATCGGATATTTATCTTCCATTAGTTAATGATTATATAAAAAAATCCTGCAACAGTTATTTAAATTTAAATTCAAAATTGCGCATAAGATAAGAAGAATGCAGAACTATTTGGATGATCGATATTCCAGTGAGAAAATGAAAAATCAGATGATCCAAAAGATTAACCATGATCAAACCCCATTAATTTTTTTCAGTAGATAAATAAGGAGTATGTATAACTCAAAAAATAGTAAATTACAAACCCATAAGAAAATGAAGATATAGGTTCAGAACTAAAATTTGATGAATAATAAGATGATTTTAATGAAGATTAATAAGCTTATGAAAAGAAATGATGTTTTTTGATTAATAAATTATATACTGAATTTTTTGATTAAATTAGATATAAACCACATAAAATTAAGTTCATCAAAATCAAATTCTTAGCTTTATAATTCTAAATAGGAGAGTGATTAAAAATGGCTATTTAATTATTATAACTAAAAAGGAGTTTTAATAATTCAAATCATAAAACTTAATCAAAAAACATATAATATTTCAATACTCATCCAATGTGTCTTTTGTATCCAACTAAACCATATATCTGATCTTGACTTTAGTTTCATCATAAACTATATATTCATTATTTTGAAGATTGAAACGATGAATTAAATCTCCATTGGCAGCTTTCTTCTATGGTTGTGGATACTCAATACATTATCCAACTGGGACTTTGCATCCATTTGATAAGATAACTGATTACTTATAATCAGGTCCTCTTCTTCCACATCCTTTAACTGATTAATATTTTTCTAAAATGATTTATGATTAAAAATTACTATCTAAATTAGTAATGGTTTCAGCATTGTATAGATTCTTTGATTTTCCAACAGCCACTTCACATAGTAACATGTATCTGTACCTTTGGATTTCATCTTATTCATCTTTCTTAGCATTGGCTTACCTATAGTTTCCATACTATTAGAATAGCCCATTATATTGATTGTAATGCAGAGACCAATCCTCAGTATAGCCATACGATTTCTAGAAGGTATCAGCAAAATAGATGCCTTTTCCAAACATAGCCCCAGTGTTTAATGCCCAAGGTGGTGCAACTATAGATATAAATAATAATGAATACCTTTCAACCCTTAAGCTAATATTCCCATGAAATTAGAAATCTTGGAACCATGCCATAAAAGCAATCTCTTGTATTCTTTATTATGCTCAAATCTTTCAGCTTCTCCCTTTCTCTCAATTGCAAATATATTTGAAATCTTTGATTGTTGGGATGCGTTTATATATTAGACGATCAATTTAAATTCAGGATGATCTTTTGGAAGAGTAACTACTCTAACATTAAGTGCATTGAAACAATAAGTTAATGGATTAATTGATTTTTTCATTAAATGAGCACCTAATAGGATTTTAGAAGTGGTTTCAAAGTTTAGCAAGGTTTCAATTAACAGTAATTTTTGATTTATTACCTCTACTGAATCCAATGGAGGAATAGGCTCTGTTCTTAATTCTGTTACTGGAATCAATTCATAAAATCTACTTGATTTATCACAAATCTCATTAAAGATGTTTTAAAACTTTTTAATGTCAATATCACCCTTTTATCTAAGTAATCTTAGATCTTCAACACAATCTGTTAATTCATTCAAAATAGCCCTAGCTGCTTCCAATTACTTTCTATCTAGTCTCTCAATAGGCATAGAATCCAAATCAATATGGAACTATTACAAGTCTTTATGATACAATTTAACCTAGACAAATTACAGCATGAATCTTTTGATTGCCTTATCTAGATTGGATTATTGATAAGGACTTTTCTTACTAAAATCAAAGGGAGTAAGCAAGGTTTTGTAATTTTTAATGTTCTTGAAATTTATCAATTGATATTTTCCTGGTTTCTTTATAAATGGTTCTTCTCCAGTTTACACACTTTTCCAATTATTTCCTCCAGCCTTGGTGTGAAATATCTTATTAAATTCCTTGATCGCTTCTTCTGCGTTATCAAATGGAGTTAATTGATGTTATCCAGGTGTGCCAATTCTTCCCCATTTGGTTAAGAGTATATAAACATTTCTATTAATTTCATGCAAGACTTGCATCCTATAAAATACATTCTCTGAATAAATGCCATTTCCAATATCAACCTTAGTCATTAATAATGAATATGGCCCTGATTCTTTATCGACCAGCACCTCAACCTTACCTGATTCTCTAGCTGAGGGATCAACTATTATTCGAGCGTCCTATTTTGAATCATCCAATTATTCTCCGTTTTCATCGAGGAATTTTTGAGCATCTGCCTCTACATCGATCTCTTCCTCCACCCAATGAGCCTGAGAAATAATACTTGTAGGAAGTCTAGGTTACTTTTATCTCTTGCTCTCTACAGCATTTAATTTCTTAAGTGCCTCTGCCATAGTTCCTGAGTCTTGATCATTAGCATAATCCAAAGGAGTTCTTCCATGATTGTCAGGCTAATTGACATCAAAGTAGTTGGACAATAATTCCAACATCTAAATATTCTCATATGATCCAAATTCAAGCGGTTAAACAACATAATGGATTGGTGTTCTATTTTATGAATCTTATGAATGCAGAGTCTTATCGAAGTTAGGATGACTCAATATAAAACTGACCAACCTTATGGAGTTTATTTTAATAGATAACATCAATGAACTCTCTCCAGAATCTGTCTTCTCATTAATATTGCATCCTGCATCAATAAACTTATTTAGAGTTATTTCATCCTCCAAATGGTACTCCTAAATCAAATACAAAATAGTCGACATTTAATAGTTTCTCCCTTTAACTTTGAATTTGACATTTAAATTTGTATTCTTATCCTTCCATAGTTGTAATTCTGATTCTTATGCCAACACTTAGTAATTTTCCTATAATCTAATAGAAAATGGAGTATTTTAAAGGCTGTTGTAAATGTTTGGATTGCATTTGCATTGCAATAAATATTAAATCATCACAAAAAAGTCATGTTGAGCAGCATAATGCAAAGGAGTATTATTTTAATCATCTTTAGCATTCCTATCAACTTGTCTATTTGCTAATTCATCCGCAATCATTAATGCAATTTCTTCTGTACATTTTCTACCCTTGATGGAAAAGATATGGAAGAGATTTTATTTGTTTTTATTTTGTTTCTAAACAATTTTGTCATCCTTGACTTTCATCAATAAAGTACGTACAAGCTTGAATTGTTCTTCCATTATTGCATCCTCTATTGCTCTTTGTAAATCATACCCATCAGAAATTAACAAATAAGCAAGTCCTTACCATCCTTATTTGATTGCTAATTTAAAATATGAATAGGTTCCTACAGGGAATTTAGTTGACTGTAATAAATAATATCTACTTTATTTTTATGGTTATGTTGACTATTAATAATACGATTACTATTGATATTAAAATTAATTTTTTTAAAATAAGCTTTATCCACTAAATAAACCCTTTCCCGAAAAGGACGATTTATAAGGATCTTAAAAACTTCCACCAAAGGTATTATTATTTTAAAGACTTTATTCATTGGATTCGTCTTTATCATTTTATTCCTTATCGTCATCAGACAAAGGCTCATCACCTTCTTATTCGATTGCCTCGCCATTCTCAATTCTCTCCCTTCTCTTTTTCTTTTCTTCTCTTCTATACTTCTCATAGTCAATAATACTGGCATATCTATTTACATCTGCCTTGTTATCTATGAGCATAGTGCAGAAATTAGAGTGACCACACAAGAATGCCAAAGCTAATGGAGTATTGCCATATTTATCAGGAACATCTATAGGTGCTTTCATTTTAATCATGTATCTTCCAGATATTACACTTCCTCTCATTGCAGCATAATGAAGAGGAGATCTTAAATGTATATCAACACAATCAACTTCACAATTTTTGTCAGCTATAATAGATGACACTGTTTCAAAAGGATCAATTTCTCTAAAATCATTATCATAAGTCATTTTTGTGAATGCATAAAAGAGAGGAGTTCTTTTGAAGATATCAAGAGCACTAGTGTTTGCTCCATTCTTAATTAATAGATGTTCCATCTCAAAACTAGCATCAGCCTAAGAATTTGATGAATTTATAGCATGGTGCAACGCCGTTCTTTTCTATTTATCAGGGAAGTTGGGATCAGCCTTAAATTTGGTCAAAAGGATTCCAACCACCTTCACATCATTTGTTTTTACCCAATATTATAATGGGACTTAATCAGAATCATTCAAATTATTGAGAGATCCGCCATTAGATATTAAAACTTAAAGGATTTCGTCTAAGGTATAATTGTATCTAATAGCTATTGAACTTGTTGGAGTATTTAAAGTTTTGTCTTGTATGTTGACATTAATCCTTTTAATTACATACTCCAAAAATGTTTTACTTTTTTCATCTCTTCTTCCGCAGATATAATTTGCACTGCAAGTATTTGCAAAGAGATGAATTGGGTAAATATTTTATAATGCTGCTTAATCCAAGGGTATAGGTTTGACTTTTTCGATTCCTTGTAAGAATGAGACACTGTGATATGATTTGAAAATAAAGTGAGCTATAGTATAACATCCCTCATTAACATAAGGATTTTCTACTTGTTCTTACTCGTTGTCTCTGAATTATTTTCTCTTTATGATTGATGAATTCGAATCTGCACCCATATTGATAAATAAGGAGTACAATTTAATTACAGTCTCTTATAAATTCAAAGATTCTTATTTGGCCTATCGATATAAGTCATTAACTTATTCTTGATTTAAATAGACTATCACTGGTTTACTTTTATAATAGAAGGTTTTTGGATGTAATTAATCCTTTGCTGGTACAAGATTCGCTTACGTTTAAGGAGCCTTATTTATATACGACAATATTCCCTATTAGGTTTAGTTGTTATTTTGCAAATTATAACCATCGTCATCATCATCATCATCATCATCTTCGACTTCAGCAACTTTCTCATCCTTCTTCTATTCTTCATTAAATACTTATTTTACACCTCCTTCCTCGTTTTCTTACTCTTCCTCCTAATCAAGCTTCTTTTATTTCTCTTCATTCTAAATTTATAATTATAATAGCCTTTCCTTGTTGATTCTTTCTTCTTCTTCTATCACTACTTTTAACTTCTCCTCATATAACTTTTCTTACAACTTTGAGACTTTCTTACTGAAACTTTAATTATATAATGCGTCTGCCTAACTTGTATATTCAGAAATTAGATAAAGTAGTGGATTCCAACCATTTTCATCATATTGATTAACATATGTAGGATCGACAGTAGCAAGTATATTTTCTAACATTGAAAATCCTTTCACGTTCAAATATAACTTGCATTCAATTAGCTTATGCAAAATATTTCTATCTTTTTTGTCAACATAGTTAACTATGGGATTAGACAATTTCATAAGTAATTCTGAAACTTTGAAGTTCTAGTTCATAAAGGATAGAATGAATGGTGTAAATCCATTGGCATCTAGAGCATTTACATCTGAACCTGCGTTAATCAAGAGTTCAATCATTTAATGGACTAAACTTTCATAATTATCTTTGATATTTCTTCTTTCTGTTTTAGTTAAGTCATTCCATTTAGGATAGTATTATTTTGCATCCTTTCGAGACAGCAACACAGCATAATGTAACGGGGTCTTGTCTTATAAATCTGCAATCTTGACATCAGCATTCTTTTCCAAAATCAGGTATTTCATGTACTCGAAAGTATCATTAGTAAATTTGCTCAAGCTTGAAGATATTAATGTTCTGCCTTCATCATCCTTACAGTTAACATCAGTAGAAGGATAACTCAACAACTATTTAACAATACCTAAATGATTTTTCTATAAGGCTACTGATAAGGGAGTCAATTTCCAAGAATTTGGTAGATTTTGATCAGCTCCAACTTTCATTAATTCAGTTATACATTCGGGAAAACCATATGCTGCTGCGTAATGCAGAGCAGTATTTTTAGAGCTGTCTGGTGAATCGTATTCAGCTCCATGACTAAGCAGTAGGGAAAGTATCTTAAGATTACCATTTCTAGCAGCCAAAACTAATGAAGATCTTCCATATTTATCCTTAGCCAACACTTTAGCTCCTTTGTCTATTAAGTACTTAGCTAGATCGTAATGACCATATGCACAGGCTATATTTAATGGAGTCATTTTATTTTATCCTGTTAAATTAATTTTGGATCCATTTTTTAGAAGGACCTTTACTGTTTCCAAATGTCCTCCTTAGCATGCAACATGAATAGCTGCATTTCCATCTCTATTTTTTCCATCTACAAAATTAGAGGCCAGAAGTTATACATTATGTGTACGACCAAATTAGGCTGCCAAAATCAATGGGGTGTTCTTACTTCTATCTCCCTCTCTTACATCTATATTGTTCTCCATTAGATATTTTAAGCAGGCTGATGTCTAAGCTACTGCTGCATAATGAACTGGTTTTCTGTGAATTTCATCCAAAATATTGTATTCCTAAGAAATATCTAATAATTTCTAAAGACATGTATGACTAGGATTTATGGCTGCACAATGGATCGGAGTAATTAAATAGTTACCTCCTGATTTCTTTGTTGCTGAAGGCTTTTTGATACTACCAATGCGACTTGCACTAGTGTAATTCAAAACATCCACATGAACTTAATTAAATCCATACATATGTCCTTTGTCCATTGCCATTTGAACCAAATAACCAGCTGTGGCCCAATTTCCACTTCTGACTGCCATAGCAACCATATTATAATATTCATGTTCATCACCCAATTAGGCCATCATTAAGCCAAAGAATTCTGGATCACTTTCAATTCTCATCAATCTTTCAATTTAAGTCTCAGTTAGACTATCCTCCTAATTCAAATCGTAAACAAAAGCATTGTTTCCTTCTCTTCCTCCTCTGCTTAAGGCAACCTTTCTAGTTCTAGCACCATAAGCATATTAATCATTATATCCTGTTTAGATTTCCTTGAGCGAGCATCTGGGAGCATTACCAAGTCTTACTCTATTTATGGCTTTTATAAATTAAAGTAACATAGCTTTATCTTACCTTTTAAATATGATTTCAATAGCATTCACATCGTTTTCAGGAGCCCATTTTTAAAAGAGATTACTAATCTTCAATGAATTCGTAAAGATATCTTCTAATAGTTTAATATTTCCTGTATTAGCAGCTCGAATCAACTCCTTATTATTCATCATAGTACTAGAATAATCAGTAAATTTAGAAGATGTTCCTTCAAATTGTTCATTAATTTCCTTTATCTCTGTGTAATCTGGATTAATTTTTCCTTTAATAAATTTTGGTGGTTGAGCGGGTTAAGATTTAGATTTCTTTTCACTTGCCTTAGCTTTCTTTTTCTTTTATTCAACAGATTAAGATTAAAGTTAATTATCTTCAACTTTATTATCTTCTCCATTGCCTAACCTTCTTTGAGCTCTACTTCTCCTTGCTTGAATGGGAGATAATTCAAGTTTCTCCTTTCTAGAGGAGAGTGGTTATCTTTTCTTTTTTTATTCCTACTCACTCTCTTCTACATAACTCTCCTCACTTTCCTCCATCCTTACTTATTTTCCTCCTTTTTGATTACTCTTTACCTATTTTGGGGTCTGCTTCTTCAATGAAACTTATTTTTTTGGTGGTTCTTCTTCTGATGATTCCTAAAAACTCTCATCTGATTCATCCTTTTTTTTCTTATTATTCTTAACTTCCTTTTTTTGAGTCTCTACCTTAACTACTTATTTGGTTCCCTTCTTTATGGTGCACTTTTTAGGGGGTTCTTCTTCTTCGCTTTCACTTCCAGAACTCACCTATTTCTTTTACTACTGGGTATTGGCGGGAATTTATCTAAGGCTCTTTGCTATCTCTTATAAGGTATCATGGGTGAATACAAAGGAATTCACAGTCAATTTACTCTTTGGATTTGGTTTTGTGGATTTTACCTCAACATCTTCAACAATTTATCTAAAATAATTATATATTTTACGCTCTCTCCTTCACAGATAGTAAAGCTTCCTATGATTCCTTGTAGACTACCTTACCATCCTTTTGTTTCTCTTACTACTCCAGTCTTACTACCTTTAATTATGATTTATGATCATTTGTTTATAGATCTTCTACTACCTTATAGAAGACTGGCTTTCCTTTTTCGTTTTACCCTAAAATCTGATCCTTCTTGAATTGATATGCGAAACTTTGTTCTGGTTTTTATCCTCGAGTTTTCATTTATCTTAATTATGATATTCAATTAAAAAAATCTGATGGATTTATGACTAAATTTTATGAGGTTTAATAATTATAAATAAATAAATTCATAAATTCATATTCCATATAACATCTTAATTTATCCATATTCATATAAATTCTATTGAAAATCGGATGATGTTGAGCATACTTAAAGTTCAATGAATTATATTAATTCAAATCTCTTATTTAATACAGAGATAATATATCTAAGAGAGAATCTGATCAACTTATTTAAAAAATGAAGAATCTAAATTCTGTTTAATATTTATTGAGGATTAGATTTGTAAAATGTTATTAGTAGGTGCCCATAATTTAAAATGGCTTCTTTTGGATAGATTGGAATCAGATTCTTTTTTCAAGTATTTTCATCTAAATCTTTAATTTTAAACAATAAATATAAAAATGTTATCAAAAATTAAATCATATATTTTATCTAAATTCTGGAAGGGTTAACAATCTATTATGCTATTTTTACGGTCTTTTGATTGGCTAAAGGTACATTTTGACATTAGCTTTGATTTTTCTTGGAGATTAAGCCATAGTTGTTGTCATAGTTGCTGGAGTTCTAGGAGTCAATACTTTTTAAAAGTCGCTAGGGAGAAATGGAATCGAACGGTATTTGTCAAGAATTTTTCTGTGATTGGAAAATTTTCTCATTTCATCAACTACAATCTATTGCTATTTAATTAAGAAGGAGTCAAAAAAGCTAGACTTGCTTTTATTTTTGTTTGCACAAATTTATGTAGGCACGTCTTCCAGATGCTCAAACGAATTTATAATGAAATCATTACGAGGATCGTTACCATCATCTAAATGTATGCTCTTCATATTCAAATATTATGGATATAATTTTTCATGCTATTTTTTTTATGTTCTCTAATATTTATTTGCCAAAGCTTCCTATTCTTTTATTTATTACATTATGAAAACACCTTCCTTCATTGAATCTCTTTGAAAATTTGTTTCTTTTCCACATTATTAACAATCGCAACTCTTTCTCTACTATCTTTCTTTCACTTCTATGTATTTTTGTGATTACTTAATATTGGTCACTAAAGATCCTCTTTTTTAAGGAGATTATTCTCTTGTTTGAAGTTCCTCTATAGTTTCTTTTCGAGATGGATGGAGGTTTTTTGGTATAGATTCATATCTATTCAAAAATCTTTAATTGTGAGGCAAACTAAAGCTTCGTTTGATTCTCTATGTATGCACATTTCTCAACAACACGTTCTTCATTTATGTTTATTTCTTTCTCTCAATTCGCTCTGTTAGAGGTTAAAAGTGAACTTATAAATAAGGTTTTCTTTATTTAATATTTTGCATAATTATATTTAATCACTTATACAAATAATCACTCTAATGCAACATATTAAGTACTCACAACAAATTTTCAACAAAAACTCCTTAAATCTCCATTGAAATTCAATTTAGACTAAGAAAATGAACAAACAAGTGCGGTTGATACGAAAGAAAGCGCTTTGACTCTTCAATAAACTGTAATAATATATGAAATTACAAATATATCTTCCTGAGTTATTGATTCTTCTAATGGAAGATATTCTTCTAATATCCACCAAAATTATTTAGTATTAATTTTAAGATAAATTTATAATGATATTCAATAGTGTCATTTTTGAGGAAAACAAGGAAAACAATTCTTTAAATATTGTAAATCATTTCAATTTGAACCACGTTATTCTATGTAAATCTATTGAGTTCTCGAAAATATCAAATAATGATGTTTTAAGATAGTGTTTGACAGCTTCTTTACATCTTTACACAAGTTACCAACAAATTTTTCATAATATTAAACTTCTAACTGAACTTTGCTGCATCTTTCTTTCTTTTTTCTGTGAACTCTAAGAAAATTATTTTTTTGTATTTGATTTTAATAAAAGAAAAATGGAAGAAACATATTGATTAGCATAATTTATTATTACAATCCATTTTTTTTAATAAAAATACATTCATGTAACTTATTCTAAATTGAAGTACAAAAAATTGTTAATAAAGAAGACTATATTACTGATTAGCATTTAAACAATATTCAGATTAAATTTTTAAGATAAAATTTTTGAAATATGAACATTCTCAAGATAAAAACCCATCAGTATTATAAAAAGAGTGAGGTTGATATTGATTTATTAATGGCTACATTGCCATATTGTGTAAGAATTGTAAGTTCTCAAGAAGAAGAAATGAATGACATAATTAAATTGGAATTTGATAGAGTCCATTGTATTCCTTTGAGCGAATTAATTTCATATACTGTATTTCATATAGAATTACATTTTAGTAATCTCTTATTTTTAGATTGTTACATGGATAGGTATTTAAACTTATTGAAAAATTGATATTTCTAATAGAAAAACTGAATTATGAAAATGAAAAAATCAATTAATATCATATTTGGTTAATATTCAATTAAGAACATAATCAAAGATTAGAACTATTGAAACTATCAGTTTTAGATTATCAACTATTTTATTCATTTCCTTTATTAAATAAAAATAAAGAAGACTAAATGTAAATTGTTGAACTAATTACTTAAATTTTTAATTTTTGTCATGATATCCCATCCATTTTTCATTTTTTTGAATCAAATAAGCCTTATAAAATATATGAAAAAGAACTTTAATAAGGATTTGAATAGTTTAAATACAAATTTATTGATTATTGTCAAAATTAAAAAAATATTGATCCATAAACTTAAATTGATCGAAATCTTGATGTATCTGATTAATATGTAGAAAATAAAGAGGATTTAAAGAAGGTTTAACTGTTTATTCAATAATATATAAAATAAAAACATGATGTAACACCTTTAGAAGCTATTTTAATAGAATTGTTCAAATAATATCGATTATAAAAAGGGTTTTAAACTTTAACCATACATAAATAATAGAATCTTTCAAATTATAAATAAGAAGATTTAAAAGGCATCTTTGAATTTAAATAGGAATAATAATTGATTAAGATAATTTAAGAGACTTTTCAAAGTTTGAATGAAAAGTAAGATGTACTAAAGGATTCTATTCAATATGAAAATTATCCATTTAATTCAATAGAATTAAAAGATTTATACGAATCTGCTGCTATTATCTATTTTAAGCATCAAGGATATTTTAATTCTTTTGATTAATTTATTCAAATTGTAAAGCAAATTAATAATAAAACACTAGTTTTTGAAGATAAAATCTTTTATATTTTAAAACCTATTATTTCTGAATATTATTTTTCGATTATGGAGCTCAAAGTTTTGGAATTGATATCTGAATTAATTTGAATTTATTAAATATTATTTAAAATCGCGTTATCAACTTTTATCTTACTAATATAAATATAGTTATGGATTTAATTATAATTTATATATTTATTTGTTTATCTTTCACTTAAATCACTTAGTTACATATTTTAAACAAACTCAAATTTAAATAGAGTCTTTCGATTTTGCTTAAGACTAATCTAAAATGATTAAGCAATCATTTTAATCTCCTTAAGCCTAGACTTACGGAATAAAGCCAAATGCATAAGGAATGACCAAACAAGGAGTCATTTAAATGATTCCATAAATTACTATCAAGTAATTCTAATAATTGATATCAATTTAATGTTCGCAAGTCACCTTTTTGAATATTAGTATAGCAATTAAAATAAATGATATATAGAGTAGTATTGTGATTAGCATTAAAGTGATCACTATTTTAATTTGCTTTCTTGTCTAAATTAATTCTCTTGGTTCTATAATCGTAGCTCTGGAATTGCACAATGACATATTAGCAAAAGAATCATAAACACTAAACTTTATTAATTTTATACGCTTTTGGGTTCATAGTCTTACACTATATATATTAGCTGACTCTTTTGAGCTTTTAGAGTAAATTAAAGCCAAAATAAGTTGTAACTATAGTTGATGTAATCTGCTAAACAATAATTAAAATTATACTTAAATAATAATATCTAGATATTAAGATAAAATTACTTATCACATGAATCTTAGCTAGACAAAACTAAAGCAAATATTTGAAAAATCAAAATAACTCCGTAAAAAATATATTGTAGAATCTTAAATATTTTAAAGTTTTTCAAAATAAGANTAAAAAATTTGAAATATGAACATTCTCAAGATAAAAACCCATCAGTATTATAAAAAGAGTGAGGTTGATATTGATTTATTAATGGCTACATTGCCATATTGTGTAAGAATTGTAAGTTCTCAAGAAGAAGAAATGAATGACATAATTAAATTGGAATTTGATAGAGTCCATTGTATTCCTTTGAGCGAATTAATTTCATATACTGTATTTCATATAGAATTACATTTTAGTAATCTCTTATTTTTAGATTGTTACATGGATAGGTATTTAAACTTATTGAAAAATTGATATTTCTAATAGAAAAACTGAATTATGAAAATGAAAAAATCAATTAATATCATATTTGGTTAATATTCAATTAAGAACATAATCAAAGATTAGAACTATTGAAACTATCAGTTTTAGATTATCAACTATTTTATTCATTTCCTTTATTAAATAAAAATAAAGAAGACTAAATGTAAATTGTTGAACTAATTACTTAAATTTTTAATTTTTGTCATGATATCCCATCCATTTTTCATTTTTTTGAATCAAATAAGCCTTATAAAATATATGAAAAAGAACTTTAATAAGGATTTGAATAGTTTAAATACAAATTTATTGATTATTGTCAAAATTAAAAAAATATTGATCCATAAACTTAAATTGATCGAAATCTTGATGTATCTGATTAATATGTAGAAAATAAAGAGGATTTAAAGAAGGTTTAACTGTTTATTCAATAATATATAAAATAAAAACATGATGTAACACCTTTAGAAGCTATTTTAATAGAATTGTTCAAATAATATCGATTATAAAAAGGGTTTTAAACTTTAACCATACATAAATAATAGATTCTTTCAAATTATAAATAAGAAGATTTAAAAGGCATCTTTGAATTTAAATAGGAATAATAATTGATTAAGATAATTTAAGAGACTTTTCAAAGTTTGAATGAAAAGTAAGATGTACTAAAGGATTCTATTCAATATGAAAATTATCCATTTAATTCAATAGAATTAAAAGATTTATACGAATCTGCTGCTATTATCTATTTTAAGCATCAAGGATATTTTAATTCTTTTGATTAATTTATTCAAATTGTAAAGCAAATTAATAATAAAACACTAGTTTTTTTTTTTTGAAGATAAATTCTTTTATATTTTAAAACCTATTATTTCTGAATACTATACCTCAATTATTCATTAAAGCAGCCTAAATAACATAAGTGATTTAATATGATATATTGAATATGTTATAGATAATTTTTTTTATTTTTTAGATGTCTTAAATTTTCGTTTAGTTGATTTTATTTTATTTGAATTCAATAGAAATAAAATAAGCAAAAGGAGCTTGCTTGCTTTATTAATGCTTTCTACAGAGTTTAACAAAATATGTATTGAAAAAAAACTGCTATTTTTATCACAAACTTTACTATCTAAGATGAATACACTAGTGATTTCAACTTTCATTCCAATTTTGACTTTAATTAGCCAAAGTTTTATCGCTTGTCATTATTCATGGCCCCAAAGTAAATATTTAATGTTTAATTTTTCACTAATTTTAATAAGGTATTTTATTTTGATTATTCTAATGTTTTTAATTAATATTATTATCGTAATTATTATGAAGATCTATAAATCATTTGCATTTGATTAAAACATTCCCTAGGCAGATTATGAGAAATATATAAATCCTGACGATCTTTTAAATGAGAGCTACGAGGAATTAAAGGGAGAGTTCAAACATTACAGAACAAAAAAGGGAAGAGACATTATTAAGCAAGAGATGGAAATGAGAAAGTAATTGCAAATGAAAAGTATCTTAATTGATTAATTGTAGGGAAAAAAAATTAATCAGGGTTGGTGGTCTAACCGAAAAAACATGAAGAACATGATAATTAAAAAGACATGCTCGGAAATATTGGTTTCCTGATTCGATAGTAAGAGAGGAAATGCAAATAAATTAAAAAGGAAGTGCAGTCGCGTACATAATTGAATATAGACATGCAGCAAACTTTGGTTAGGATTATACAACGATGAAACAGAAAATCCAGTAAATTATTTATGGGGACAATATAGGAAGACAGATGTGACAAAATAGCCAATATTCAGCTAAGAAGACTTTGCAAAGTTGATTTAAAGGGAAGACGAGGATGAATTGATTTAAACATAAATAAGGACTATGCATAAACCCAGAGAGTTTAAATATTCTTCATAATTTAGGGGTTTTAAGTCTAGATTTATTGAGAAGTAAATACCTTTGTATAAAAATATGGAGTAGTCATCTGAAATTGATTCAAAAAAATAAGTGGATAGCAAAATATTAACAAAATCAAATAAAACTATCAAACAGTATAATGACTAATGAAAAATACTAGGTTTGGTCTTTAATAATCTCGAGAATCCCCTTCAAATGCAATGTTTGATGGGGAGGCTAAACGCATCTCAAAGTCATATCTCTATAAAACATGGTTTAAAGGAGAAGAGACGTAAAACAAGAAATACAAAAAGCCAAGGAGAACAGAATCATACCATAAGGCAGCTGCATAAAGAGAAGAAATAAAAAGCCAATTAAAAGAAAGAGCATAGGTTGCATTCAAACGGTATGAAAGTATGGGAAAGAGTATTACATTTATTAAACCTTAAGCATGGGAAAAATTTGGGGTATTTTCATAGGATATTCTGGATTTTAGAATGTAGACTTTAAAGGAAGCTAAAATCCAAAGATTGTATTTATTTAATTTAATAATAAAGATTACTTGAGCAATAAGAGCATGATCTTACTAAGGTCGAATAGAACGAGTAATCAAATAATCTATTTTAAAAGACAGAGAGACACTGATATGCTAACTCGATTGGTGAAGGTGATCACTAAGCCTAATTCTGATAATAAAGAAGAAGTCAAAACAAACTTTGAGTATCACGAACAAAGACTAAAGGATATGAGAACAAGGACTAGATAAATTTAGAGAGCTGGATTTTGAATAATTATATTTATAAATTAATGCTATAGAGATAAAAACATGAGCTTAAGGAATAATTTTAGGACAGAAAGAAAATATATGAACTAGTGTGTAAGAAGAATGCAGATAGAGCAATAGTAATGAGCAATATTTATGTGAATATTAAATATATGGGGAACAAGTATTCAAAAGAATTAGAAGACGAGTTGAATTAATATATAGCATAGTTATGAAAATTTGAGATATAAATTAAATCTTTTTTTTTAAAAAGTATTATGATCATCTAGGTGGGTCACCTTAATGGAGAGGTGAAAACATACAACTTAGCAGACTAGAGCACTGCAGCTGAATTAATGAACGTTTTGAACTCTGAATTAGCATGTCAAGTTCAATTGGTTTAATCTGGAGAATTAGTGAATGCATCCTCAATTTTGGCAGGAGAAAGAATCTACTATGTCACAGTTGATGCAGAAGGAGGTAAGAAAAAGAAGAAGAAGAAGAAGAACTTTGCCAAGCCCAAAAAGAAGAAGCACCGACACCGAAAAGTTAAGTTGGCTACCCTCAAATTATACAACGTTGATAATAAGGGTGTTGTCCAAAGATCTCACAAATAATGTCCTTAATGCCCATAAGGTGTATATATGGCCAAGCATTTTGATAGACATTATTGTGGTACATGCCATTAAACTTTCAGAATGGACGAGGCAACAGTAATCATAAAAACTATATTTTAAGATTAAAGCCAACTTAGAAGCAATCAAAAAATAATAAGCTGCCAAAGCTGCTGCCGCTGCTGCTGCTGCTCCAGCTGGTGGTGCTGCAGACAAAGGTGCTGCTGGAGGAAAAAAAGGCAAGAAGAAGTGAAACATATCATCTAGTATATTAATAAATAATTTAATAAATTAATAAAATCTCAAAATATTCATCCTTATTATCAATAATTAGGTACCTTCTTCTTCGATCAAAATTATGAAATTTTTATATTTTTGAGTATGTATTTAATTTATTGGATGGTGTTTTTTTGAATCACTTATCTATTTTAACACTAAAAATTTGATTTAATCCACACAATCATAACATTAAATAAATGAATGAACTATATTTTACAAAAGAAAATACGTATTTTATTATAATGAATTTAATAAATTAATGTTAATAATCAAATATTTCATGCATATGTTATTCAATTTTAGTTGGATATGCTATTATCGTTACGCTTATAGCTGGTAAAGCTCTCATGAGATTGATGAAATCTTCAACAAGTAATTAAGAATTAAATCCGATGATATTATGCATAGTATAATCTCTCTTACATGTTATTTAATATGCCGTGACTGAAAATAATACCTTGTAAATAATTACCCTCTATTTTTAAATACTTATTTTTACTTCAATTTCTTAATTATTTGCAAAATTATGCTATTAGGTTAAAAGCGGAACTCTTATTTTGAAAAACTTTAAAATATTTAAGATTCTACAATATATTTTTTACGGAGTTATTTTGATTTTTCAAATATTTGCTTTAGTTTTGTCTAGCTAAGATTCATGTGATAAGTAATTTTATCTTAATATCTAGATATTATTATTTAAGTATAATTTTAATTATTGTTTAGCAGATTACATCAACTATAGTTACAACTTATTTTGGCTTTAATTTACTCTAAAAGCTCAAAAGAGTCAGCTAATATATATAGTGTAAGACTATGAACCCAAAAGCGTATAAAATTAATAAAGTTTAGTGTTTATGATTCTTTTGCTAATATGTCATTGTGCAATTCCAGAGCTACGATTATAGAACCAAGAGAATTAATTTAGACAAGAAAGCAAATTAAAATAGTGATCACTTTAATGCTAATCACAATACTACTCTATATATCATTTATTTTAATTGCTATACTAATATTCAAAAAGGTGACTTGCGAACATTAAATTGATATCAATTATTAGAATTACTTGATAGTAATTTATGGAATCATTTAAATGACTCCTTGTTTGGTCATTCCTTATGCATTTGGCTTTATTCCGTAAGTCTAGGCTTAAGGAGATTAAAATGATTGCTTAATCATTTTAGATTAGTCTTAAGCAAAATCGAAAGACTCTATTTAAATTTGAGTTTGTTTAAAATATGTAACTAAGTGATTTAAGTGAAAGATAAACAAATAAATATATAAATTATAATTAAATCCATAACTATATTTATATTAGTAAGATAAAAGTTGATAACGCGATTTTAAATAATATTTAATAAATTCAAATTAATTCAGATATCAATTCCAAAACTTTGAGCTCCATAATCGAAAAATAATATTCAGAAATAATAGGTTTTAAAATATAAAAGATTTTATCTTCAAAAACTGGTGTTTTATTATTAATTTGCATTACAATTTGAATAAATTAATCAAAAGAATTAAAATATCCTTGATGCTTAAAATAGATAATAGCAGCAGATTCGTATAAATCTTTTAATTCTATTGAATTAAATGGATAATTTTCATATTGAATAGAATCCTTTAGTACATCTTACTTTTCATTCAAACTTTGAAAAGTCTCTTAAATTATCTTAATCAATTATTATTCCTATTTAAATTCAAAGATGCCTTTTAAATCTTCTTATTTATAATTTGAAAGATTCTATTATTTATGTATGGTTAAAGTTTAAAACCCTTTTTATAATCGATATTATTTGAACAATTCTATTAAAATAGCTTCTAAAGGTGTTACATCATGTTTTTATTTTATATATTATTGAATAAACAGTTAAACCTTCTTTAAATCCTCTTTATTTTCTACATATTAATCAGATACATCAAGATTTCGATCAATTTAAGTTTATGGATCAATATTTTTTTAATTTTGACAATAATCAATAAATTTGTATTTAAACTATTCAAATCCTTATTAAAGTTCTTTTTCATATATTTTATAAGGCTTATTTGATTCAAAAAAATGAAAAATGGATGGGATATCATGACAAAAATTAAAAATTTAAGTAATTAGTTCAACAATTTACATTTAGTCTTCTTTATTTTTATTTAATAAAGGAAATGAATAAAATAGTTGATAATCTAAAACTGATAGTTTCAATAGTTCTAATCTTTGATTATGTTCTTAATTGAATATTAACCAAATATGATATTAATTGATTTTTTCATTTTCATAATTCAGTTTTTCTATTAGAAATATCAATTTTTCAATAAGTTTAAATACCTATCCATGTAACAATCTAAAAATAAGAGATTACTAAAATGTAATTCTATATGAAATACAGTATATGAAATTAATTCGCTCAAAGGAATACAATGGACTCTATCAAATTCCAATTTAATTATGTCATTCATTTCTTCTTCTTGAGAACTTACAATTCTTACACAATATGGCAATGTAGCCATTAATAAATCAATATCAACCTCACTCTTTTTATAATACTGATGGGTTTTTATCTTGAGAATGTTCATATTTCAAATTTTTTA